TACCTAGACACTTGACTCCACACAACTTGTTAATAGCCTTAGTTGCATATTTCAAACTCTAAAGATTGCACAATATTAACCAAACAATGCTATAGGATTGGGGTTGGACCCCTTATATTAGAGACCTTCCCTATTTGATGTTTTCTATTTTACAATTTGTTATCCCAAAAAATCTCCTTGATACGTGGCAGATGAAATGGTGTGCCACTTGCTTTGCTCCAAACAAGAAAGATTTCTCCGACGATCCTCTCTTCTTTCCAAGCGTGTAACTCAGCTTATGAGTTAATGGAAGAACGTCGTAAATTGCGACTTAAAGATTAGACGATTGGTAGAAATGAGGGATGAACTTCCTGCACTAAATGAGTTATACGACAAAATGCCCTGGATATGATTCCAAGGACTCCTCAAAGCTAATGTAATCAAGAAAAGTTAAGACTGTAAGGAAAATAAATGATTGCTAAACTACTGAAAATCTAAATAAAGTTTAAATACACAAACTGGATTGAAATAGAGCTTTAAAAGGAAATTTAATTGCAGCAAAACTAAATTAAGTTAAAGTAAATAAAACTGGAAATAAGGAAAATTTACTGGCAGCATGATATATAAATTAATAGAAATGGAATTGAACATGAAATTAAATGTCGACATCATTTGATTTAATTAAACGAAACTTGAAAAATAGAAAAGGAAAGGAAGCAATCCAATCACAAAGAAATACTACTGAATGCAATGAAACTCACCATTACAAATATGACAAAAGCAGAACTGAATTGCTAAACTAATCTAAGCTGAAGCGTAGAGCTAAAACTAAACTAAAAGGCTTGAAACTAACATGATTTTGAGCATAAAGAGAAATTGTGCTGACTTTGTTGTGTGAGATGTCGATCCTTTGCTTGATCTTATCATTAGGTATTTATAACACCTTGGCAGCATAGTGGAGATCTACTGCAGCATCCTGAAAAACTAACGGTAGCATCCTGAAAAACCAACGGCAGCGTGATATCTGCAACAAACTGATTAATTTGTTGGTGCTGCAATTATCCTCTTGGAAGCTCGCAACAAGAGAATGGTTTTGTTGTCGTTGTGGAAATAACCACTCAATCTCATCTGAAGAGATTCACATCAACTTTCAACTAATAAAATATCTGCCATCATGGGTGACATGTGGCAGCACTCTATTTGTTGTAAACTTAGGTGTAAACATTGCCCCCCAATTTTTGACCTTACGGGAGTAGGTGTAAAAAATTTAGGACCTTAGTGACAGTACTCAACTTCTTTGTGCCCTTGTCCTCTTTTGTAAGCCCCAAATTTCCTCAAAGGTTTCCTTCCTTTTCACTTTTTTCACTTTTTCACTTTTGCTGTTTAGGTTTCTTCTCTGTTTTGGAATTGGAAACGAGCCGACTACAATTACTGCAGCGCCACCACAATTCCTCATCACTTAGGACTCGGAAACCTTACCGACTCCAACTCATTATAAAACATGATCGTCATCGTGAATTTGCAATAGTTTCTCTCCTTCTCTTTTTAATTTTTTTTTTCTGGTTTTCAACGCCGTCCCTATCAAACCATTCCAGCCATGGCCAATCAATTTCCTGCCTATGAGTTCCTCAAATCAAATCAACCCCTTTGGCATCAATTCAGCAATATTCAAAAGGAAATTGCTGAAATTATTAATGAAGATCCTTTCTGCCACAACAACCAGATCCACATTGTCTCCAACAATTCCATCAATTTGGGTCCAATCCTGAAGGAAACAACCACTGCACTCCTATGCCTCCACTACCCTCAACCGAGTAAGCATCTATTACCCTTTCAAGTCAAACCAGATTGGAGTGAGTGGTTAGCATGCATCGTTGCATGGCCGATAGTAATTGAAGGCGAATGGCCGGCATGGGTAAAAAGGTTGGAACCTCACTTTGCAGCTGTATGGAAAGCAAATGGAATTTTTGAATTTATTCATATGACCACAACTCAAGTGCTGATAAACAAAGCCATTCTGACAGCAGCTATGTGTTTTAGGTTGTGCTCCTATAATTGATTTCACTTCCTTTGTGGTGCTATGTCCATCTCTCTACTTGACAGTTTTTCTCTAACCGGTCTTCCCTGCATCGAAGAAGAGGTTTCTGCCTTGCTGCCAACTATTCTTGTAGAAGAATATGACCCGGATGACACCAGAACAACTTTCTTGAGTTTCCAAAGGAACTCAATTCTCGCCACCAAGAGTAAGAATCCGGACTAAAGAGAACATATTTCCTTTTTATTATGTTTAATCTGCAAGTTTATGGTCTGCCTTAGTGGGAGGTCTGTTGCCCAAGAGTTCATTCCTCTTGCTGTCGGTTTGGCACATGGTAAAAAATTTGCTCTTGGTCAATTTATGCTCGGCTATATATACTGTGGATGTATGATGTCACCATCTTTTCATTCAAGAAATTCAGTGGTGCTCTTTGGGTCCTACAATTGTGGCTTTATTCTTATTTCCCAACTGCGCCCCTGAATTTGAGAAAGTTGATGAGGAAGATTTGTTGACTTACGGCATGTGCGTCCAAGATGCAAAGAAGCTGCCATAAAGTTTTAAGACATATTTCAACTATTTTGCATCCCTCTCAATTGATCGGCCAAACGCAGAATTTGCAGTATTTCTTGAAAGGAAGTATGGCCCAGAATGGTATAAAGCAAATAGGAATAGTGAGGAATTCAAAGCTTGGTGGAAAGCTTACATCTCTCCAAGAGATTTATTCATAGGCTATAGCATTGGGGGGCCACAATCAAGGTGCAGCTCAGAGCTGTACGCTCCTAATCAATTCTGTCGGCAACTTGGATATTGTTAGGACATCCCTACTCCACCTCAGTTTACTGAAAATGTTTGCTTTCCTTTGAGTTTCCTCTTTCCTGACATTAAATCAATATAAGGGCAGGTTGAACTTACTAGCATGTTCCTCAACTCAGTTGACTTTCAGCCACCTCCACTTAGCCATCCCAACTGCACTAAAGCTTATAAGGACTAGTGGACATCACACTTTTCATCACGCTTTTGTGTTGTAATGAATTCCTTGGACCAATTTGCTCCCCTAGAAAATAACAAAAAGGAAGACAAAAGCCAAGCCGACAATCCTCCACCCATTGGCAAAGTCAAGAATTCCTCAAATGACAAACCAAAAACGCAACCTGCCAAGAGGAAAACGTCTTCTCCACAGATTTGTGATAAAGAGGATACGCCAAATAAAATTGCAAAAGGTAAATTTTCGGCCTTCATTTTTTTGCTTCTTTTCCTTGCATGAAACTAATCCAACTGTATGTAACGGCATCTCTTCATAGTTCCACTAAGCTTGTGGTCGTAAAGGTCGATCCTCCTTGCTCAATGACCAAAGATAGTTGGTCTTCCCCTAAGGTTACAAGCAAGCTTTTCCAAACTGTAGAATTAAATGAGCAAGCCGACTTCACAAGAGAAGAACTGCAGCCGGTCACCACCTCACCGCCAAAGCCTATTGCTTCTGCACAGGTAGATACACGTACTTTCTTTATGTTTCTTGCTGCCACTTAATTTTTTTTTTTTTAAAATTCACATGGCTGCCTTATGGATTGCAGGCTGATTCACTCGTGATTGAGATAGATGATGATGTCCTTGAGAGTGAGGTTTTTGCTCAACTGGACCTCTTGGATGACTTCTTATAAATAGAAAGGTCCATGCCTCCCGGCTCAGAAAATAAGATTGTGGAAGAAGAAAAGAACAATCCGGATATCCCTTCTCAGGAATCCATTGATGTTGCCACCCACCTTCTTCTTGAGCTATTGAATGGTAATCCATTTGAACTTTGCCAAGTCATTGATCAAAATGAGGCATTCAATGCATCAGTGTGTATGTTCTGGAGCAATTTCCCTACCGTTTACAAGAACTTTAGCCAACGGTTTATGAATGAGGAGAAAGTTGTGTCAGAAACAGCCGCGGCTGTAGATCTTGCTCGACAATGTAAAGATGCAGTAGAGAAGAAAATGAGTATTTATGAAGAGGTGAAAAATAGCATTAGCACCCAAATGAAGCTGCATCAAGACACCTAGATGAGATTGCCAAACTAGAAGCCCGCCTTGCCGAGTTGAAAAAGGCAACAACAAAGGAATAAGACAGCCTCAAATCCCTTAAAGCCGAGAGAAGCAAATTACTAGTTGAGCTCAAGGAAGAAGGACGTGAAGCTTTGGCTACAAAGAGTGAGGCTGCACACCAGGAGGAGAAAGTAAAGGAAGCCAACAACACACTGCAGCAAATGAGAGATGAATGGGCCACCTGGATGCAAAACCTTTGCTAGGTTTTTTTTTTTTTTAGCATCATTCATCCTTGTCACGGCCATTAAGCCGCTTCAACATTTGTTTCCAAACTTCTTTTTATTTTTCTTCTTCTAATGATGAACATGAATTTATTTGCTTGCTTTATTCATGCTGCCCACGGCTT